TTAATTATCGCAACTACGAAAACCACTTAGCAAAAAACATCCTTCACAAAAAATTACGTGTTTTAAAAAAATTTCATATTCTTGAATATTAGTATTTGCTCGTTTTTTGCTCTTCACAGAAGAATTCACACGACACACGAAGACAGTCACGGCCTTTTCTTCATAAGAATTCATGTGTCGCATGAATTCGTACGAAGAAAAGCCAAGACGATCTTACCGGAGGATATTCATCTGTTAAATTCCATCGGCTATAATTTTCATCAAAAATCATCAACGTTTGAATTTTGCAAATGGATTGGGAATTGGTCATCATAATGTTATTCTATTATGCTTTAATTACGTGCGCAGAGCAAATAAAAGAAACAAAATTAGAGATGCATCACCGCAATATTCACCTTAAACTGTATGATTGCATGACATTGCATATTTGTGTTAACTATTTTATAAATGTTTTTATACAAATGTTTACTGTTTTTATTCAAATAAATGCATAAATCACGAACGCATAACATAATCATAATGAAGTTAAAATACGAATGAAAATAACTGAGTGAACATTAATTATACAGATAAAGAATCCAGATCGACAGTGATTAAAATATAAATCGAAACAGTTCAGTCGGTAACAAGAGGTGAAACATCATTTATGTACAAAATATCTGAAGAACCATTGTAATCTAGTTAAGAAATAAAATTTCTTTAATTATATCACAAAAAGCTGCGAAACCTCATTTGAATTTCAAAACTCTCAATTTCTAAGTTTCATGGCCAATCTTTTGAAAATTCATCGAAAATAAGTTCACCTATTCACTAAATTATCTAAGGGTTTATACACACAAAATTGGTCATTCATAATAACAACAATCTCTCAGACAAATAACATTTTCCAAGTAGCAAATGACAAAGTTGAAGTTAAATTTACATCAGTGAATTATAGATACAATGAATGTTGGAGTGAACGATTAAATGCAAAAAAACGAAAAACAAATGACGAAATATCAAAGCTGAAAACCATCTACTTTGGATGCGAACAGTGATCCATCGTCTAATTCCTTGATTTGTTCTTTCAACTGCTCATAATATCTTTTCTTCTCCTCAAAAAATTCATACGTTATTACAAAGCAAACGTTTTAGTTCAGATTCCATCGAATCGCACTACAAAATNTCTTCTCCTCAAAAAATCCATGCGTTATTACAAAACAAACGTTTTAGTTCAGATTCCATCGAATCGCACTACAAAATTCCAGACTGTCCAAAACATCAAACAATGCAAACAACTAACTTCTAACTGCGAAACGTAATCCTGCTTGATCTCCTCTAAACGCTCCACATGATTCTGCAGTGTTATTCTCGTATGGCCAAGAACATCGAGTTCAGGTCTTCGTGTGGGTCGCCATCCTGAAAAAATTATTTTGTTGAATGCCATTATATAATCTTACGCAAATCTAGAGCTGAACAGCAGTTCCTTCTTATAACGACAATAAAAGAGCAATATAAATCCTTATAATTTCTAAAATCTCAAACTGTTTAAAGATCAACAGATTGATAACTTACGAACAAACCAAAAAATTCCGGGAACTAAGCAATTTAGAGAGAGAAAAACTTTCAGTCCTCAAAAACAAAGGGCAACGCTGCGAAAATTATCGCATATATGGTGACAACTGATAGAGAAGTTAAAGCAGTTTAGCTCGACCTTTCGCGTTGGGATCAGTGTTTTTGCACAATTCGATCAATTCACCGACTCTTGCTTCCACCTGCAAATCAATCATCGCAAATCAATACGCACTCAGGTTCTCGCAAGTTTAGATGAAAATTTTGACGCGAGTTTGGATGATCATACAACAAAC